TAATATATATAATAATATAATATATAAAATTAAATATATTATATAGATAAATATAATAAATATATATTAATAATAATAATATTATAATGTAATAAATATAATATAATAATAATATAATAATAAATAATATATATTATATATTATATTTTAAATAATATAATAAATAAAAATTTAATAATAATATTAAAGTTATTAATTTTTTATTATATTATTATATTAATATATATATAAAATTGTTTACTTTAATGTATGTGCTTCCACCTAGCGTTTCCTTGTATTATTATTCTCCTGTATAAACGGTTGCATTCGAAAGGGGCAAATTATCGACGGCTTAGTATTATTACACACATTGCGTACGTCTGATGAGATATCTTGTTTTTACTTTTTTATATTTCTAGTGCGCCCAAAAATGTACCGTAAACAATAAAATTAACAAAAAATAAACAGTTCTAAACATATTGATTAAAATAAATTTAAAAAAATTAGAAATATAATCCATTTATTAGATGCACTTCTTTAAAAAAGTACTACGTAGTGCCATCTATTGAGAAACGTATGTAATTTCTCTCTTTTATCCTTGATATTTACCACCGTAGATACATGTGTCTTTAATACATTCACTCTATTAACAACTGTGAGTATAATAACAGAATGATGAATTAAAATTCTGACAGCAGCACCTGATTTATAAACAAAGTCAAAGATTGCACTTCGGTGCAACTCAACGCATACAATTATGACAATTCATAATTTATATATATTTTCTAGAAATGGTTTGTTGTTATATTATGCTGAATGGAATAGATTGAATAAATCTGGAATAACGAAAGAAGAGGTAAATATTAATAATATACAAATCAATTTTTCCTATTTCATTGATAGAACAAATATTTTGAGGTTAACAACTACCTTGTCATATGTCATATTTAAAATAAACGAATAACCAATGTATTTTGTTTGCATATTTTTTAGGAAGCAAAATTGATGTATGGAATGTTGTTTTCCATAAAATCATTTGTAAGTAAAATATCACCGTTGGATCCAAAGGAAGGTTTTTTGTATTACAAAACAAGTAAATATACTTTACATTATTTTGAAACACCGTCTGGTTTAAAGTTTGTTTTAAATACGGACAATGCAACCCAAAATGCAAGAGAATTGTTGCAACAATTGTATCGCGAGGTAAATCATGATTGAATATAATTATCATTAATGAAACTTTGAGTTTTTATCAAAAGAAAGCTTATGGTGACAGGATATGTGTGATTCTGATGAATCCTCAAATATGTAGAATTTAAAAAAAAAAGAGAAATTGGTATCCTGTCATGTTAAATCTACCTTTTATTAAACATTTATACGTATTATTTTCTTTTTTCAGGTATATTTGGAATACGTCGTGAAGAATCCACTTTGTCAACTGAATGAACCGATACAAAGTGAATTATTTAAATTAAAAGTTGACGAGTTGTTTAAAAAGTCGCCATTATTTTTAAGCAGATCGTTATAACCAAAGAAATTCAGAAAAATACTTGTACAATTAATATTGTAAAATATTATTATTATCATTATGAGAAAGAGAGAGAGAGAGAGAGTTATTTTTTAAAGTGTCCTGATTCAGAACCATCAAACTTTTCCATTTGATTTCACTTTTTACTCAAACAAATGTTTTCTGAGTATAAATTCTACACTATCTTCAGTTTCATTATCATAAATTCACAAATGTAACCATTTGCCAAATTGCTTTTGAATCAATTTAGTAGTTTTACTGAAATTTCTATAACTTTCAAATGTAATTATACAGCTTTGTATATTTATGGAAATCCCACACTTTGAGAAGTTCTATCATAATTCATTTACATATAATTTAATTGGCAATGAAGTTATCTATATTTTCTTTTTTTCTTTTTTTCTTTTTTTGTAAATCTTATTAAAAGTTTATTTTTCAATAAAAATGAACAATTTATTTATTGATCAATAATATATTTAGCCAAGTTTAAAATGTAAAACAAACGATGAGAACTTAATTGCCAATCTAATATTTATACATATTTATGTTGTAATATTTATATTATTATTATTTTTTTGTATAATTAAATTCAATAATATAGTTAAATTTTATATAGTTAATTTTAAATTAATAATTCTATTATTAATTAAAAAAAGAAAAAAAAAAACTTAAAGTTATTAAAGTATTTAATAATATTAATAATTTAATTATATATTTATTTAATATATAATTAATATATAATTAATATATATATAATATATATAATATATAAAATTATTATTATATATTATATAATATATAAATAATTATAAGAATAATTATAAAAAATAAATAAGAATAATCGAAGAAGTAGTAAATTATTTTAAAATTATTCTTTAATTACATTGCACAGTATACCTCTAATTTTACACATATTTTTCTATCTATTTATCTTATATATTAGAGCTCGCACTATGTAAAACTTCCATATCTTGAAATTGTTTCTTTTTGTCCCATACAATTATATCTTTCAATATTTTTAACAAATATGAGTGTCAAATATCGATTATTTTACATACTATGAATGATCATTTGTTGAATATGACACTAAAATAACGAGTGCCCTGTTTTTATAACGTTGACGATGAAATACAGATATTATTAGGGTATGTAAATTCTTAATCATTTAAATGGCCATTGTGAAAAGTGTATAATAATTAGTAACAATTAAATGTTTTTTTTTTATTTTTTTTTTTTTAGTTTTTAATGATACTTGAATTGATATTTCAGTCATACTGTATAGTAACTCAAATATTATTATATATTTTGTTTTCTATCGAAATATGTTTGTAGTTTAAATCGTTTTTAACGTTTTTAACGTTAACGTTCTGAAATATTTGAAAAATTATATATATATATATATATATATATATATATATCTAAGTGTGTGTATAGTATTTTGAACAAAAATGAAAAAAAAAAAAAGAAAACTATACAAGCGAGTGAAAGGAAACTTGTGAAGTATGGCACAGTACTTCAAAATCTGTAAATTGTTTAGAAATCATATTTAATAAACTCAAATATTTAACATATTATAAATAGATTCGGAAATATATGTGTGTGTGTGTGTGTTTTTTTTTTCAATCAATCCATTTTCCTTTTTTTTTTTTATAATATAATACTTTAATATTAATTATTACCCTTAATACGCGCGATACCTTTGTTTCTTTTTATATTTTATATATATATATATATTATGTTTAAATTATAAATTGATAGGCAAGAAATATCTATGTTAATATTCGCGTTTTTATTAAAGGAAAAGAAAAGAAAAAGCAAAATGAGATTATACTGCGCACATGATGGTATAACATAAGAAATAAAGAAAAAGAGAGAGAAAGAGAGAGAGAGAGAGAGAGAGAGAGAGAGAAAGCAATGATAAAAGAAAATGCAAAATAATGCTATAAAAAAAATCATCACTTTATTCATATACCGTATATATAAATATACCTTGTAATAAGCATATAATATAATATATATGTTATATATAAAGATAAATTTTTATAATACCTTATGCTTCTATATATAATACATATATATTTAATAATAATATATATATATATATAAAGTATAGAAGCTACTTTTATCATTGCCAGATCACCAAAGGTTCTGTAAAGTGGGAATGATTAAACTAAAATAAATGTGTTACCATAGACAAAAAAAAATGTATATATATATAAACAAATTGTTAACTTCTAGCATATATATATATATATATATATATATATATATATTATATTAAATATATAATATATACTAGAATAAAATATATATTCATATATATATACCAAAAAAAAAAAGTATATATATTTTTAGCGTTTAGCTGAAAATGCAAAAAATGTATCCTACTTGAACATGAAACTCTCTTTGTTTTTTTTTTTGTTTCAAAGATCATATATACGTATGTATACAATCTTGTTTAAAAATAATTTGTTGTTTAACGAGAAAAATGAGAAGAAAAAAAAGAATAATTCTTCATTTCGAATTCGTTGATGAAAGCTACCAAGAGATTGATATAATAAAATACGGTCAATCATTTTTTTTTTCTTTTGTTATTTTTGTTATTTTCGAATACGAAAGACGTAATTTCGTTAGATATAAAACTTATACTTGAATCGAGAATATATATGTATATATACGGGCATACGATAAAAAATATCATATGAGAAAAAGAGACAGTTAGTGGGATAGAAAGAGGTAAAAAGAGAATTATGACTTTCATCGTTTCTAAATTCTGGGGGGGGGGGTGTGTGGCTTTTTGCAATTACAAGTATATACACACTCACGTATATATATAAATACGTAAACACGTGCAGGTAAAATATTATACAAACGCATTGCATGCGAAATGACAAGATTTGTTTTATTGCGAGAACGAAAAATTAAAATTTCATTTCTTTTGTTTGTTTGTTTTTTTTTTCTTCTTTTGTTAAAGGGAACAAATTTTTATTATTATTTTATTATTTAATTTTTTATATTTATATATGTATATATATATATATATATATAACTATATGCTGCACCCTGCAATACGCGTCTAGTTTTATAGCAATACGTCTTGTGTACATGACTGTACAATTTATGCGATTAAATTTTCATATATCACACACTATGCACTTAGTATAGTGCAAGCGTGATGCTTATGTATATGTAAATACGCATATACTACATCATATCCAGATACTTCGAGAGACGTATGTATATTGCTACATTCGTACTCAGTCTTCGTTTTTTCTCGTTTTTTTTTTTTTTTTTTTTTTTTTTTTTTTTTTTTCTTTTATTCTTGGTTGTTCGTTTTTATTTTTTTTATTTATTTATTTTTTTAATATTTTTGTTTTTTCTTAATTTTCCTTAGCAGTGTGAACTTTCATCAATAATACGTTCCACATCGCATGAAGAAAATCCGTGATTGTTTCCCGAATTTTGTAATACGGCTGATATTGGTTCTTCTATTACCGATAATCTTTTTTCACGATCTGTTGATACTGTCGAACTGTGAAAAAAAACATTTCTCAATGTGGCAACGTTAATACGTTCTACGGATGGATGTTCCTCAATAGTTGTATCAGTGTTCAATTCCTTATTTGAATTCCTACAAAAATATAATTACTATTATTTATTATATGTATATATATATATAACTAATAATAATTAATATTAAAATAATATATAATAATCATGATAAAATTGAAATAATATTTAATATATAAGAATATAATTACGTACTTGGAAAACTTTTGAGTATCTAATTCCTGTTCTACCTCTTTATTTCGTTTTCGTCTACCACCAGTCGTCGTCCTGTTATTGGCATTGCACGTTCCAGTACTGGTTTGGTCTCTATCTGCTTCAATAAAACTAACGTGATCGTCGAACCGTACACGTTCAGAACCTCCATCTTCTCCACATACGGTCCAATTGCTCGAATCACTGTGTTGTCGATCTAAAGGTGGTTTACGACGCGTACGTTTTGCTAAACCCGGTACTACCTCCTCTAAAGAACTCAAAGAAGTTGCTTGTCCAGCTGAGTCCATATGACCTCCAGTAGTAGAATTTGCTGTTTGATCTCCTTCCGTACTTCTACCACCGCTGATCGAGCTACTGTCCATCTAAATCGTTTATTGGTATATTAACATTATTTTGTTCAATAACAACAAAATGATATATATATATATATATATACATACCTTGAAGTTAAGAACTGAACCTGATAATGCTCTCGTAGATGCTGCTCCATCATCAAGAGCTAATGAAGCATTAACAGATTTTTCTGATAGGCTCGTAGCAGCCGAAGCTGTTTCACTGCAGAGACTACATCTTTGTGTTGAAGTTACATCTGCTTGAACTTCCAATCTTAAAAAGAAAAATAGAACAACAACAAAATAATAATAATAATAATATACAAAAGTATGTATTTAAAAATACAAAAATTATATATATATAAAATACCTTTGACCTCCAGGAAGAACACTAGAAGCAATGCTTCCTGCTAAACTGAGCCCAGCTAATGCAACATTACTAGCACTTTCACGATCATTTTCTCGGCCCAATTTTTCCAATTGACTTCCACTACCCAATGACAAGGATGCTTCACCTATTGAAGGATTACCAACACGATGACTGGCTACATCTATCGATGATGCATCTAAATATAATACAACAGGATTAAAATTTGTTTCTTATTTCCTATGTTATTAATGTAATCATCATCATCTGGAGAATAATAATTTACCGCCAGCATTGCGAACGCCCAAGGCACCCATTAATTCATTCTCATCATCAAAATCGAATCGTACACCGGTACCATTAGTGGAGACTCCACAACCACCACTGCGACATAATGAAACCGGAACCACGCCGTAGACGTAGAACAAAAGAATTGGTACACCAATACCAACTGCTAAACCTGCCAATACAGGCGACACTAAAACCTATTAGAACAATAACAAAAATCATGTTACAAATTCATCATCTCAATATCATCGTAAATATTATTTTAATATCCACCCTAAAAGAAAATATAAAAGCATCAAGTCTTTTTTTTATTCTTTTCCCTCATAGAAAGAATAAATTCGGGTCAATTAATTAAAGGCTTTTCCTCGATATTACAAACGCTTTTTTTTATATATATATTTTTAACGATTGGAAAAAGTATATATAAAAAAAAAAAACAACAGGAGGGATAAAAAGACAGAAGAAGAAAAAGAAAAAAAGGAAGATGAAGGAAAGAAAAAGAAAGAGAATAGAATCGTATAAGGGTGGTGTACCAGTAATTCCCAAATTATTTGTTAATTTAAATCTCTGTCTGTTCAAAGAATAATCTCATGATGATTCCCTTTGTATACGGATATTATTAATTCTACAGATATATGTTTATGTAATTAAAATGTGTTTGGTATGAATCGTAGGGAGAGAATTGTTGAGAATTTTCAGATACTCCTGAAACGGGGGGAGGAGGGGGGGGGTTGGGTTCAGTTGCGGTCCACAGTTGGAGAACCGCTGTGGTTTAAGGTGTACACGAGAGGAGTATGGTTGGGGAAAGGATATTGATCTGTTAAAGGAGAGTAGTATTCACGCGCATGACAGATACTTTCTGTCCCCAGCTTGTACCGGCAGAGGCAGGTGGTGGTGGTGATGGTGGTGATGGTTGTAATGGTAGTGGGGAACACCTCTTCACCATCCAAAGTCTGATAAGGTTGATAGGCGAGAGGAGAATAAGATCTTTAGGGAGAGGATCGTGTCACTTGTTTAGGTACTTACTTAGTTGAGTTTAGTCTTTCGTATCGTTTTATTAACGTAAGGATTTCAATTACTTTGTAATTGTAACGAGAAAGTGAAAGAAGAAAGGGGAATAAGAGTAATTTTAAAAAATACAGAATTAAATAGATAGAGAGAAAGGAGAAGAAAATTAGCAACGATTCGTGTTAAAGGGTGTGCCGTATTACCATTCGAGTCTTGTCAAAAAGTATTGTATCAGGGTCAAAAATTTGACTAATTGATGATTGGGGTTGTTGTTTTTTTTTTAATTCGACCTAATGTGTAATTCAAAAATTACACGATCAAATTAAATGATAAAATTATAACTAGTGTCAACGATGTGTTTTAATTAATTAAATGACTACTTTTCATCTTTCACATTCTCTTTTTATTATTTGTTTTTTTTTTTTTTTAATTTTTGTTAATCTTTTATCTCTTTTTTCGATTTGATCTTTTTCTATTTCTTTAGATTATTTTTTGTTTTTTTTTTTTCGTTTTGTTTTGTTTAAAGGTATATATTATTATTATTATTATTATTATTATTATGATATTTGCATTCGATCTAGCCAAAGAGGAATTATCTGTCGTATAAGAGACGGGATCGTTGCCCATTGAGGACAATAAATAATGTCAGATTACGAGGACAGTGATTTTTGCGGAGAGGAGGAAGTCATACCCAATTGGGAAATTACAAGGGAGTGGCTTGAAGGAATTTTTGCTGAATATTATATGCACAAGGTAATATTTATGTAAATAATATTTTTAATATTATTTTTTATAAATAGTAGAGATTTTTCCTTAATTAGAAACTAAATAAAAATAGTATTTCAAATAAAAAATGAATTTTCAGTAAATAACAAAAAAATTGGTATTACATTTCGATAATCTAAAGTATCCACAATAATAAAATATAATTATTTGTTACTTTTATAACAGTACTTAAATTAAATTAAAAAAAAATATATATATATATATATATAATGTTATGTTGAAATACTATTTGAAAGAATTTCTATACAATAAATAAAAAATAATTTCTCTTTTCCAAATGATTTACTCTACATAATATAGGTTGATATAGGTGAATTAACAACCCTATCGGTACGGAAACCTGATGCAACTCTATTGAACGAAAATGTTCTCTGTGATATTACTTACGCCAAATTTGAGTTAATTAGTCCAACTGGTGTATCCGAAATGAAAATCTTCATCAAACGATTACCAGCGGATCTCTTTAATCGTTTTTTCGTAACGGAGGGTCAATACGATTTACGTGAAATCAAATTTTACACCGAGGTAAAAAAAAGAAAATATATATATATAAAACAATGTAGATCACATTACAAATTAGTTTTAACTTAATTCAAAATATCATTTATCATTTTAGATAGTACCGGATCTTAAACTATTACCACCACAGGGAAGAAGAGTTAGACGAATAGAAGGACAAACAACTCCTGATGATCCATTAAAATTACTAACGTGTTATTACGCGCATTACAGTCCACCAGAAAGAAACGATGATAGTCCTAAACAGACAGACGCCGACAGTTTGATACCACCTGAGTCTGTATTAGTATTATCCGATTTGGATTTAAAAAGTGTATCATTCGCCGAAGGATTATCATTTGCTCAAGCTAAAGCTGCATTAGATTCGATAGCCGGGATACATGGATTATCTCTTTGCATGAAAATAAGGGACGATGAACCTTTGCCAGATCGTTATCCATTCTTATTTCAAAAGACCAAAGCAACTGATTCTTATCAACAAATGGTAGAACGTGGATTTTCACAATTAGCTAACTATTTAGGATGTTTGACAGGTCTCGAACCAGTTCTTGAAGCTTTGATGGCACTTAGACCAAAAACCAAAGACATCATCATGAATCTTCTTGCACCAGAAAGTCCATTAGCAACGATTACGCATATGGATTTCTGGTGTAAGAATGTTAAATTTTCTTATACACCGAATATCAAGTGTTACATTCTTGATTGGCAAATGGTCGCTTATAGCAGACCAACGAATGATGTTGCATTATTATTAGTTAGTTCCCTGCCAAGCGAATTACGTCGTAAATATACTGAATCTCTTTTGGATGCTTATTGGAATTCTTTAAACGAATGGTGCTTCATTTACGGCCTTGATATAACCAAAGAACTGGGATACACGAGAGAAGATCTCTCTAAGGATTACAGAAAGTCTCAATTATTAGCATTGTTATTATGTATTGGCTCGATAGACATAGCTTTGGAATATCCGCAAACGAAGCAACGTTTAATTGACGTTTTACAAGATTTACACGACGATGGCATATTAACCGAAGAAATTGCAATAACGAGGACGGAATCAGAAGCTTAAAAAGCGTTCCTAAAAAAACGAGCTATACCGAAAAAAAAAAAAATCATATTATCGTTTCGCTGATATCCGCTACTGTAAACCTTTTCAATAATCTAACTAAATATGCGTATATGCGTAGAATACATCTATTTCATTCAGCGTGCGATTGTGCTGTGCATAATATTGAAAATGTGTTTTATTATTCATCATTTTATATTCATTAATAAGTGAGATATTAATAGAGAAAATGATAATAACAATATTTATGGGTGCTTCTGTCAATATTTATGAGTCTAATACACCTCATCGATCATATTATTCTAACGAATTCGAAAAAATATATCAAGTCTGTTTTATAAACTAATTTCTTATGTTAATTAAGAAAAGAAAAGAAAAAGAAGAAAAAGAAGAAGAAGAAGAAAAAAAAAGCAAGTAAATTTTGTTTAAATATAAATAAAATATTATACTTCGATGTTGTCATGAAAACAAATATCAAGCGTCTTTAATACATGCGTATAATAGACCATATGTCTTCGATCATAGAAATATGTGTCAAATTAAAATTACAATAAAAGGTCAAGGTAGTGATAAAAAAAAAATAAAAAAAAAACGAAAACAAAAAGAAAATTCTGAGAAAAGAATAATACATAAATATATAAATAGATAAGACATTTTTGCCGACTTACCGATGCAGTAACACCACCTGCAATAAAAGCATTTCTCTTGTGCTTGTTGGCTTTCTTATATCTTGTGTATAATTTTCTTCCAACCCATACCGGTATACCTATGATAAAAAGAAAACAAAAGGTACATAAATATAAAATGTCAATGATAAAAATTCCTATAATGATATTTATATATATAATAAATAAATAAATATATATATTCACCAATAATCATTGCAGGTACTGCTATACCAGCGACCAAAGCAATTCCAACAGGAGCACCAACGAGAGTTCCTAGCTGCCAAAGTATCTTCTTCTTTCTGGACCATGGCTTTTTACCCCAAAAAGTACAGCCAGAAGGACTGTTCAAAAATAATCGAAACGTATCATTAAAACGTGTTGAAATGTTGACCTAATATAATTGATATCATTAATCAATAACAATATTAATACCTAAGATAATGAAGATCACTGATTTCTTTCATGCAAAGCCAACAAAATTCGGCTCCACAAACGGCACATGTCATATGATTACAAGTTCCATCGTCCATTTTAACGATGAGAGCTTGACATCGTGGACATGGTTTAATATCATCTCCTAGAAACATAAGAACAAAAATTGGTGTAATATAATCGAAAGAAATAATAATGATAAACAAAAATGTAAAACTTATCAAATGAAAAAAAAAATACATACTGTGCTGTGAATCACTTTGACTAAAACTAAGCGAAGAACTTCGCTCGTAATATTGCGAACGCTGAGCTCTAGCTGCATCGCATGTTTGATTAGGATGCCATCGAGCTTTACAATGATAACAAAAGTATGAATCGCAACCGGGTCTTTCGCATCGTAATTTTGGACACGATGCACAACCGCTTGCGATTACAGCAAAACTGCAATCAGGCGCTGGACACCATCTTGCGTCGGGTTCAACGGCAAGAACTCTTCGTACCATAAAATCTTCATATTTCTCTAACTGTGCTGAATCATTTAGTATCATTCGAATATCTGTTAACAATTAAAATCAACAAAAAAAATTACATCTTAGTGTTTTTTTTCCTAAATCATTTTCTTAGATAAAATTGTTATTAATATATAAACAAAAAAATATTGTTAATATAAAATAAATTTTGTACCGTTAGGATGGAGAGGTTCTGAACATACAGGACAAGCTATATTAACTCTTGATTCGGAAATCTCGATTTTAAGATATTGTTGGAAGCAATCATAGCAGGTACGATGATGACAAGATTGTATAACAGGAAATAATTCAATTGGTAGATCGGCTAAACATAGCGGACACTCCATTAATCCACTCTCATTACTCTGTAATAGAAAATACGAGGAAGATGTTAATACAAGAAAGAATTATTCAATCTCGTGAAAATACTATTATTAGAAAAATGTGGCCACAATTATGAAAGTGGTCTAAATCATATATCTCTTGTTTCGAGATATATAAAGATTTATACTTGAACACTATATGAATTCTATACAATATTGAAATAACAAACATTATCTAACGATTCATTTTTGATAATATCATGAAAATTACATTGAATTTATTTAGTTTATAATAATGTAGTGCGTAATAACTGATAAACNTTTTTTAATTCTGACTTAGACCACTTTCATAATTATGGGCACAAATGTCTTATTCTCTTGGCCAAAAGAAAAAAATATTGATGACACAAAAACATAATACAAATAAGGGCATTTTTTACAATACAATTTCCTCCGAACATTTCTTCTCAGTTGAACTTTAACAGTTCTATAAATACCTTTCCGGCAGAAGAAAGTACAGAGCCTTTGCTGGAAGCACGTTGTAGGTCTATATTGTAAAATTGATAATGGCTTGAACCATTACTTACTCTGGCTTCTATAAATACTCTACTGCCTGCTGGATCTTTAGCTGTAAAAATGAAAAAGAAATGAAACAAGATAGACAAATTTATATATTATTTTTATGATTAACAAATAAATACAAAATTACGATATCGGTAGTTTAATTACCTTTAGCGTTACTCCTATTACCAGAACTAGGTGCTCGGACTATTCTTCGACCAATAAGTGGACTTGAATATAATAATCTTCTTAAGGAAAATCTTGGAAATCTTCGAGCACGTGGTGGGGGACCATTACATCCTCCAGAAGCATTATCATTTTCTTTGAACATCTTGGAAGTACTCTTGTAATACTGTTACAATATCATTCTTCAATTCAATTAGATTAAAGAAAACCTATGACAACAACAATAATAAAATAATAACAACATTAATAATAAATTAAACAACACGTTTTAAATATCACATTAATCAAACAAATTAATATCACATTTATACTATTATTTCTTAAAACATTCGTATTTATATGATTACGAAAATAATAATTTAATGATGAAAATTATACCTTACATTTAAACATTTTAAATACACAATTTGTCATTAGCCATTATATTTGATTAGACTGCAGAAAATAATTTTTCGATCACGAAACAAAGATAACTATATCTAATCCAAGCACGTACATTTCACGAAAAAAAAAAAAGAAATATAAATGAAAAGCATTTTTTAACTTAATGAGTCATACCATGCGAAATTTTTACATACGTGTGTCGCATCTTTAAGAGACCATGATTTTTATATTTACCTTTAATTTATTGTGACGCATATTGAAATTATTTATTGAAATTAAACGAATTAAGTGAAATCGTTTTGAATTTCAATTTTAAATTACACATACTATAAATTATTGAAACTATTTTATTCGTGAACTTTGTGTTTCTTTCTTTTTTTGTTTATTTGTTTGTTTGTTTGTTTTCTTTTAATCGATCGTAAACAAGTAATAATTATTATTATAATATTTGTGAAAAAAAAAGAAAAAAAGAAAAATACATTTATTTATATCACCGAATATTTGACGAATATTCTTTCAATATGTTTGATCTTTTCTCAAAGTAAAAATAACACGTTGTAAAAGAAAGATTTATTTCTCTTTCTCTTTCTCTTTTTCTTTTTCTTTTTCTTTTTCTCTACGATTTCTCTCAACACGTTTACAACATGCATGAATAATCGGTATGTCGAAATATTTGAAAATCACGTAATATGAGAAATCATTTCAACAGGTTTTCATTCAGAAAACATTGTACTTTTGTTAATATTTTTCATATTTCAACGAGATTCTACAAATAAATTTGTTGTTTTTATGCAATGCAATTTACAATATAATTCGTATTATATATGTGTTCAATGATTGTTACATGAATATCTTGTAATCTATTAAGAATACAGGAAAATCTGTAGAAGGTTACGACGATACAGAAAATAAACAAAATACAGAAAAAAAAAACAAAACATGAATACTGTAATAAAAATGATTTAAATGTAATCACGAAGATTATTTGCATAATTAGACTGAATTACAAATTGAAGGTCTTGCATCTAATTAAATTGTCACGCAGATAAATAACACATATCATTTATTAACAAGATTTTAAATAAAATTGTAAGAAAAAGAAATAGAAGAAGAAATACACAATATAATTATTAAATAAAATACTTTAATATAATAATAATAATAATTCATAATTAAATTGTCACGCAAATAAATAACGTATCATTTATAAGCAAGATATTAAATAAAATTGTAAGAAAAAGAAATTAGAAGAAGAAATAAAAAATAACCATTAAATAAAATATTTCAATATAATAATAATAATAATAATTCAAATAATAAATAATAGTATGTATGATAAATACGGATTGTGAAAGTGTAATTTATTGTTTATTAAAAATCAATTAATCATGAAAATAAATGAGCATTTGACAAGGTGTATCATAAAACAAACGCCATTTGCATAATGATCCAAGCGAACAGGTAAGTTAGGTGATACATACTTTTATGTGTGCGTGAGCATAATGAGTGAGTAATATTTTGAGAGTAACATTGACCCATTCGTGTTAAAAAGAGAGATCGTACAAATACGTCAATCAATGAGATCGATTGATGAGTGAAAATATGAATGAATAATTTGGTTAATCGAATGAAAGAGAGAAAGATAGAGATAGAAAGAGAAAGAGAGAGAGAGAGAGAGAGAGAGAGAGAAAGACATAGATAGAAAAAGAGAAAGAGAGAGATAGAGAGGAAAGAATAAAACAAAATATAAATATATAGAGGAATAAGCCAATTACTCGGATGACTAGCATTAAGGTAGAAGAAGTAAGAATTTAAAAGCAATAAATTCGAAAGCATAAAGAGAGAGAGAAAGAGAGAGAGAGGGAGCATAACCACAGTTAATAGAAAGTATAAACTTACCTATTATTTCAGAACTTTCGTAAGAATACTATAACACACTGGAAGATCACAATATTATGAAAATAATCGTTAATTAAGGCCGATTAATGAATTCTTTTTTACTTATTTTGTTGGTTAAGGATATTCGCTTGACATAACAGCTGACTGGATTCCGATTATGGTATGATCACGGATTACGTTACTCGCCAGAAGAACATTAAACGTTCCATTAAGAAATCGCATACAGCGCCATCTTAGATAAATGAGGTGTTCAGCCATTCCTCTATTTCCATTATAGATTATTTTTCTTATTTTTTATAATAGTTTTTTTTTTTTAGTTAAATTCATTTTTTACATTTTAGTGATTAAACTATACGACTTAGCTTTTTTACAATGTTAAACAATTAAATTATATGTTGCAATGAAAACTGAACATTCGCTTGAAATGTCCAATAGCTGTTTAGAATTTGTGCGTAGTATACGCTGATTGGACGAACGATTGAGCGCCTTTTTTAAACGAATACAAATAGAAAATTAAATCGAATTTACGAATCCAAATAAATGATAATGAAAAAAAAACTAATTACTACGAAAAATAATTTCTATATAGTAATTAATAAAATAATAGATTATACAAATGTATTATAACTATGGAAATGATATTTGTATAAAAAGGCAAAGAAATTATTTTAAAAAAATGACGCTCTTTTTCCCGCACATTTTCTTTGAATTCAAACGAGATATTATTTGATTGTTAAAAGAATGAAATCAGCGCAAACAATTATTTACATAAGTTATTATTATAAAATTGATGTTTTTGTCAAGTATTTTACACATCAAACCTTCCAAATGATACTTTACTTCGATTCTAATACGCATACACATGTTAAGAAAAAATGTTAATGGATGAAAAGGATTGGCGTTCGTTGGATACATAATAATTTTTTTTTTTTTTTTTTTTAATTAAGGAGAGGTCACCAAAATTTCGGTTTATGTTCGTTTTGTTTTGTTTAAAGGTATATATTATTATTATTATTATTATTATTATTATGATATTTGCATTCGATCTAGCCAAAGAGGAATTATCTGTCGTATAAGAGACGGGATCGTTGCCCATTGAGGACAATAAATAATGTCAGATTACGAGGACAGTGATTTTTGCGGAGAGGAGGAAGTCATACCCAATTGGGAAATTACAAGGGAGTGGCTTGAAGGAATTTTTGCTGAATATTATATGCACAAGGTAATATTTATGTAAATAATATTTTTAATATTATTTTTTATAAATAGTAGAGATTTTTCCTTAATTAGAAACTAAATAAAAATAGTATTTCAAATAAAAAATGAATTTTCAGTAAATAACAAAAAAATTGGTATTACATTTCGATAATCTAAAGTATCCACAATAATAAAATATAATTATTTGTTACTTTTATAACAGTACTTAAATTAAATTAAAAAAAAATATATATATATATATATATAATGTTATGTTGAAATACTATTTGAAAGAATTTCTATACAATAAATAAAAAATAATTTCTCTTTTCCAAATGATTTACTCTACATAATATAGGTTGATATAGGTGAATTAACAACCCTATCGGTACGGAAACCTGATGCAACTCTATTGAACGAAAATGTTCTCTGTGATATTACTTACGCCAAATTTGAGTTAATTAGTCCAACTGGTGTATCCGAAATGAAAATCTTCATCAAACGATTACCAGCGGATCTCTTTAATCGTTTTTTCGTAACGGAGGGTCAATACGATTTACGTGAAATCAAATTTTACACCGAGGTAAAAAAAAGAAAATATATATATATAAAACAATGTAGATCACATTACAAATTAGTTTTAACTTAATTCAAAATATCATTTATCATTTTAGATAGTACCGGATCTTAAACTATTACCACCACAGGGAAGAAGAGTTAGACGAATAGAAGGACAAACAACTCCTGATGATCCATTAAAATTACTAACGTGTTATTACGCGCATTACAGTCCACCAGAAAGAAACGATGATAGTCCTAAACAGACAGACGCCGACAGTTTGATACCACCTGAGTCTGTATTAGTATTATCCGATTTGGATTTAAAAAGTGTATCATTCGCCGAAGGATTATCATTTGCTCAAGCTAAAGCTGCATTAGATTCGATAGCCGGGATACATGGATTATCTCTTTGCATGAAAATAAGGGACGATGAACCTTTGCCAGATCGTTATCCATTCTTATTTCAAAAGACCAAAGCAACTGATTCTTATCAACAAATGGTAGAACGTGGATTTTCACAATTAGCTAACTATTTAGGATGTTTGACAGGTCTCGAACCAGTTCTTGAAGCTTTGATGGCACTTAGACCAAAAACCAAAGACATCATCATGAATCTTCTTGCACCAGAAAGTCCATTAGCAACGATTACGCATATGGATTTCTGGTGTAAGAATGTTAAATTTTCTTATACACCGAATATCAAGTGTTACATTCTTGATTGGCAAATGGTCGCTTATAGCAGACCAACGAATGATGTTGCATTATTATTAGTTAGTTCCCTGCCAAGCGAATTACGTCGTAAATATACTGAATCTCTTTTGGATGCTTATTGGAATTCTTTAAACGAATGGTGCTTCATTTACGGCCTTGATATAACCAAAGAACTGGGATACACGAGAGAAGATCTCTCTAAGGATTACAGAAAGTCTCAATTATTAGCATTGTTATTATGTATTGGCTCGATAGACATAGCTTTGGAATATCCGCAAACGAAGCAACGTTTAATTGACGTTTTACAAGATTTACACGACGATGGCATATTAACCGAAGAAATTGCAATAACGAGGACGGAATCAGAAGCTTAAAAAGCGTTCCTAAAAAAACGAGCTATACCGAAAAAAAAAAAAATCATATTATCGTTTCGCTGATATCCGCTACTGTAAACCTTTTCAATAATCTAACTAAATATGCGTATATGCGTAGAATACATCTATTTCATTCAGCGTGCGATTGTGCTGTGCATAATATTGAAAATGTGTTTTATTATTCATCATTTTATATTCATTAATAAGTGAGATATTAATAGAGAAAATGATAATAACAATATTTATGGGTGCTTCTGTCAATATTTATGAGTCTAATACACCTCATCGATCATATTATTCTAACGAATTCGAAAAAATATATCAAGTCTGTTTTATAAACTAATTTCTTATGTTAATTAAGAAAAGAAAAGAAAAAGAAGAAAAAGAAGAAGAAGAAGAAAAAAAAAGCAAGTAAATTTTGTTTAAATATAAATAAAATATTATACTTCGATGTTGTCATGAAAACAAATATCAAGCGTCTTTAATACATGCGTATAATAGACCATATGTCTTCGATCATAGAAATATGTGTCAAATTAAAATTACAATAAAAGGTCAAGGTAGTGATAAAAAAAAAATAAAAAAAAAACGAAAACAAAAAGAAAATTCTGAGAAAAGAATAATACATAAATATATAAATAGATAAGACATTTTTGCCGACTTACCGATGCAGTAACACCACCTGCAATAAAAGCATTTCTCTTGTGCTTGTTGGCTTTCTTATATCTTGTGTATAATTTTCTTCCAACCCATACCGGTATACCTATGATAAAAAGAAAACAAAAGGTACATAAATATAAAATGTCAATGATAAAAATTCCTATAATGATATTTATATATATAATAAATAAATAAATATATATATTCACCAATAATCATTGCAGGTACTGCTATACCAGCGACCAAAGCAATTCCAACAGGAGCACCAACGAGAGTTCCTAGCTGCCAAAGTATCTTCTTCTTTCTGGACCATGGCTTTTTACCCCAAAAAGTACAGCCAGAAGGACTGTTCAAAAATAATCGAAACGTATCATTAAAACGTGTTGAAATGTTGACCTAATATAATTGATATCATTAATCAATAACAATATTAATACCTAAGATAATGAAGATCACTGATTTCTTTCATGCAAAGCCAACAAAATTCGGCTCCACAAACGGCACATGTCATATGATTACAAGTTCCATCGTCCATTTTAACGATGAGAGCTTGACATCGTGGACATGGTTTAATATCATCTCCTAGAAACATAAGAACAAAAATTGGTGTAATATAATCGAAAGAAATAATAATGATAAACAAAAATGTAAAACTTATCAAATGAAAAAAAAAATACATACTGTGCTGTGAATCACTTTGACTAAAACTAAGCGAAGAACTTCGCTCGTAATATTGCGAACGCTGAGCTCTAGCTGCATCGCATGTTTGATTAGGATGCCATCGAGCTTTACAATGATAACAAAAGTATGAATCGCAACCGGGTCTTTCGCATCGTAATTTTGGACACGATGCACAACCGCTTGCGATTACAGCAAAACTGCAATCAGGCGCTGGACACCATCTTGCGTCGGGTTCAACGGCAAGAACTCTTCGTACCATAAAATCTTCATATTTCTCTAACTGTGCTGAATCATTTAGTATCATTCGAATATCTGTTAACAATTAAAATCAACAAAAAAAATTACATCTTAGTGTTTTTTTTCCTAAATCATTTTCTTAGATAAAATTGTTATTAATATATAAACAAAAAAATATTGTTAATATAAAATAAATTTTGTACCGTTAGGATGGAGAGGTTCTGAACATACAGGACAAGCTATATTAACTCTTGATTCGGAAATCTCGATTTTAAGATATTGTTGGAAGCAATCATAGCAGGTACGATGATGACAAGATTGTATAACAGGAAATAATTCAATTGGTAGATCGGCTAAACATAGCGGACACTCCATTAATCCACTCTCATTACTCTGTAATAGAAAATACGAGGAAGATGTTAATACAAGAAAGAATTATTCAATCTCGTGAAAATACTATTATTAGAAAAATGTGGCCACAATTATGAAAGTGGTCTAAATCATATATCTCTTGTTTCGAGATATATAAAGATTTATACTTGAACACTATATGAATTCTATACAATATTGAAATAACAAACATTATCTAACGATTCATTTTTGATAATATCATGAAAATTACATTGAATTTATTTAGTTTATAATAATGTAGTGCGTAATAACTGATAAACTCATTTTTTATTAATTTTGACTTTGACCACTTTCAT